TAAATTGATTAAAATTTTCAATGTGTAAGAAAAATATTAATGTGATAACAGTAGAATCGATATATGCGCAAAAATTTCAAATTGCTCAAGCATTACATTATTTTATATCATTAAAAAGTGCATAAAATTAATATTAAAAAAAAAAGGAATTTTCATACAAATTGGATCATTCTATAAAATGTTATGAGCATTCAAGTAACAAAAGTTGACAACAAGGAGTCCTTAAGAAAACTGCGAATAGTTTCAAAATATACCGTTCGATCAGCGGCATTATGGTAGTAATAGTTACTGATTGTATTCACAAAATACCAATTGCGTTTTAATATTAAGGTCACGTGACCTGATTATATTTTTTAAATGATAACACAAATAATTGTCAAAAAAGTCGATGTTTATATACCTACTTTGCGAGTAATATAGTGTAGTTTCTGCAATACAAATTTTCACAATGAAATTTGGTAGGTATTTAAAAAACAAATATGAAATTTGAGAAGAATATGTTTAATAAAAATCCATACCTTCGATAAAAATACGATATCAGAAATCTAACAAAGTTTTTAATACAAAAACGTTCATCATCTGCCTAAGTATAACATCCCCCATTAAAAAACTAAAGACGAGAATGAGCTTTCAATTTATTGCCCATAGAAGTGTATTAAGTGCATTTCAAAGATTCAAGTACTTAAGCAATATATTAAAAACGCAACAAGGTTCATAAAAACGTTTTATTAATAGTATAATATAATTAAAGTTTTCAATGAAATGGATGTATATATAAATTATATACATATAAAGTATATATAAATACTTATAAAATTTGATCTTACAGGGTTCCTACAGGGTCATTTGTAAAAAAAAGGAAATTTTTTATAAAAAAACAGGAGTATAGAGGCCAAGAAAAATGAACACATAAATATAGATCAAAAAAAAGCTAAAAAGAATATTAATTCCCTTTAATAAATAAAAAAAAAAAACAAGTATAATGTATTTTGCATGACTGATAGTTTTAAATTTCAAAAACTTATGTAAACAAAAAAAATACATCGTTAACTTTTTTTTAATTGGGAACATTCTTTCATTAATTTAATTCTATAGCTTCCTTTTCTTTTCTTTTTCTCTATTCCAATCTGCACTTTTCTTTTAAGTTTCTGTCATAATTCTACTTTTTGTAGGCCATTCATATATGCAACCCTTGCAAAAAGTTTTACTAGTTTGTTTTCCTTTTCCAGAAGTTGTTCAACAAAAGGTGTTCATGAAATTTTCGGAAAAATCATTAAATAAAAATGCTTTTTGTGTAGTTAAGATTATCTTATAAATTTTAAAAGAAAAGCTTTCACAGGTTTTCTTTTATATATATAAGAAAAGTAATTCAATACTTACTTAGATAGAGTTTTTAAATTAAATTAATCTAGACTATTTTGTAAAATAGTGTTTACATATTCTAAATAACCATGAAAAAATAATTTTCATAATAGTTCTAAAATAAAGTATTTGCCGAAATATTAGCAAAATAATATTATATATATATATATATATATATATATATATATATATATATATATATATATATATATATATATATATATATATATATATATATATATATATATATATATATATATATATATATATATATATATATATATATATATAATATAACTTTTTATGTATATAAATATATATCAAAAGTTCTAAATTTGTAAAAGGTTTTGATGATAAGTTCAATAATACTTCCAGAAGACTTCTGGAAGTAGATCTTAACAAAACAAGACTTCTGAGAAGTCTTGTTTGGTTTTCTTGTTAAACGGTGACAAAAGTAAACAAGCAGAAAAAATTTAAATATATGGGTATATAATGAACTCATTAAAAGATTTGCTTTTTTTCTTACTAAGGATTTCATGTTTAAAGTCACCAACATCGTTCAACAACAATGTCATTCACAGCGTTCTTTTTTTTTTTTCATTGATTGACTTCTTTATTATTTTTGTTATCGGAGGATTCTGAGCAGTTTTGAAAGTTGGTATATAACGCTTTTTTCCAAAGCAGTGTTGGTAGTTGGTATATAATGCCTGGAAGACTCTATTCGCATTTGAAAAACCAGTTGATTACATTATATGTTGAGAGGCCACAAAATATACTTTTCCAGTAAAAGATTGTTATATATGCAGATATTTCTGTGTACTCAGTGGTCATGCGTCACCCGGGTTACCTCTTCCGGATGTCTTATGGGCATCTACTCGTCCTTTACAAATCTAGCGGATGTCCCCTGAACGACGCGTGCCTACTGGGTATTCTGCTCTATTCTATATACAGAGCGTCCTTGTACATAATAGACACCCCAAGTAATATTTATTTATTATATAAACAAAACATCTCTTTGAGTTATAAAAAATTAATTATTATTTTTTTTTTCCTTGTTATTAATCAAAAAATTCGGATTTTATAAAGATATTTTCAAGTAAGTTAAATAGTTTACAAGCTAAAAATTTAAAAAAATATTCACTGATAAAATAGTACTTTATTTATTATCATCGTGATAGGAATAATATTGTTGATGATTATACATTTTTTACTTTAGTTTCATGCTGTTACCATCTAACTTTGTTTTCTCTTTGATATGTTTTTACCATATCTGCAAGTCTTTGAATACCTTCATATAAACCATCCCCTGTTAAAGCGCACATTTCTTGAACGTGCCAAGGATTACCGCTTAATTCTTTTAACCGCATTTTATCAACTAGTTCCCACGATTTTAATGCATTTGGGAGATCTTGTTTGTTTGCAAGAATCTAAAATAAAAATTTAAATATATGTGACTTTACAGTCTTTAAAAAAAAATAAGACTAAATAACAATGATATGAACCCACCACAGCAGGAATTCCTTTTTCAATGCCTTCATCTTTTAAAACAGAAAAAAACTCTTCACGCGCTTCTTGAATTCTTAAAACGTCACAAGCATCAACAACAAAAACTAGTCCTTCGGCACCCTGCATAAAAAAAATTATATGTATTGATAAAAATCAACGAACTTGTTTACGGTTGCATCATAAAAGTAATTATACGTGGTTTCTACCAATTGTGAATAAAAATGCCATTGTCTTATTTTGTTTTAAAAGATTAGTTTATAATTTGTAATCTTACTTGATAATAGTGTCTCCATAAAGGTCGAATTTTTTCCTGACCTCCAACATCCCACATGGTAAAAGTAACGTTTTTTACTGGAGTCACCTCTTCCACATTAAACCCGATTGTAGGAATGGTTGTGACGTTTTCGTTGAGCTTTAACTTATAAAGTATTGTTGTTTTTCCAGCTGCATCTAAACCAAGTAAAAGAATGCGAGCTCTTCTATTACCAAAATCATTTAAAGCTGATGCTAACTTTGATAGCCATAAACCCATAGTTGCTTTTTAGTTGCTTTGCAATTTTAAGCTTTAGACAGGTTTCTTTGTATTCCATTATGATTTCAAGGTCTTTTATACATGGTGCACTTTAAAAAATTACGTATTTGCAACGTTGTTCTGGAAGACGTGTAAATATTTTAAATTCAAGGTATGACGATATTATTTACAACGTGTATCTAGGATGTAGATGCAAGTTATGCTTTAAAATATATAACCGGGGGACAGTTGTATTAATCTTGATTAATAAAGTTGTTTTTTAGACAAATAATTATCCGTTTTATTAACTGATTTCACAATTATTTTATTGTTAGATTATACTTAGATAAAAATATATGCTTCTTTATACAACAAAAGCACCTTAATTATTTGTTCAAAACATTTTTATCATCCTTTAAAATTTGTTATAGATGACGCAACTGAAACTTAACCAATTTATGTAAACGTTGCATATTTGCTGAAGCGTTACAAAATTTATGAGATTTTAAGCTTTAAATTATTAAAATGCATTCTAAGCTAACTCAATATGTTTAGATTATTTATGGTAATAGTATTTTTATTAAGTCTATACTATAAACATATTTATTAAAACTAACATTTAAAAATATTTTTGGAGGAGGAAGATTTTCGGACGTTTTATTTTTATATTTTTAACTCCAATATTTTAATTCCCATTCTAAATAATTTTGCTAAAAATGAAGCTTGTTAGAAAATGAAAACATAAATAATCAATGCAGCTGATATTGTCAGTCAAAAAAACGTATAAAAATTTTTTAATACCTTTATAATAACCGTCCGAACCAGCACAACTCAGAAAAAAGTTACGCTTTTTGTTCGTGTTTAAAACCTTCTGAAACAAAAAGAAAATAACACGTGCCGAGAAAGGTTTTCACTCCGCGAAACTAACTATTACTATCAATGATATATTATATAAACTAAATGTCTAACTTCGATCCGAAAAGTGAAGCCAGTTTTTACCCTTTTTACAAATGGCGAATTGAATTTGTAAACAAATATTTTTACTTTTTATTTTCTTAAATGAAGTAGATATACTTTAAATTTAAATATTATTTATGTAAAAGTGTCAAGTGAAAATACTTGTAAAATAATAATTTATGATTTCTTAATTTATTTTCGATTAAAAAGGAATTTATGTTTTGAATAGAAAAGTAAAACGACAGACGCTTTTGAAGCATTTTTATGAATTAAAATACTTTTTAATAAGCATAGGCTCATAAAAAACTTTTATAAGTATTTTATAATTATTAAAACTTGTTTTTGAATTATCTATAATTTATTGGGAGCTTTTAACTTGAATTTTTAATTTTTATTCCACACTTTGGATTCAGCTTTTGCCCTTTTTACAAATGGCGGACTATTGTTATAAACAAAAAAAAAAAGGTTTCATTTTTTGTCCAATAAAATCCAAGTAAATGCAAGTTAGACATCTAGTTTATATAATATATCATTGATTACTATTTACCATAAAATACCAGGTAAAATATTTACGGTTTCACCGTTGCGGAAACGTAGTATTGTATTATAATATATTTCCTTAAGAATAAAAAACCACTGATAAAAGCATGTCACATTTAAATTCGACTTTAAACCTCCAAAAACACGTATTAAACTGCAGTAATATAAACGTGTTTTTGATTTATATGGATCGCAACAAATGTGTCTATTCAGATTTAATTCCGAAAAAGAAACTAGATGTGTCGGTTCGGATTTTTCTTTCAAAATTTCTCTTTCAAAATTTATAGTTATATAAAGTCTAAAGCTTCATAAAAACACGTGGATGTAAAAAGTGCATGAATATAGTTTCTAAAAAAATTAATTTTTTTCAATGAAATTTAAACAATTGAATAAACTTGTATCTGGTTTAAAATATCGGAGCTTGTTATTTTGAAAAACCTCTACTAAAATAAACTAACTACATACTAAAATATTACCTACTATATTAACTTCATACTATAATTTACTTTACATTGATTATTCTTTGGATGGCCTGATTAAAAAAATGACAAGATCTTTTTGAGTAAATCTAAAATCATTCGTTAATTTTACTATTACTTTTTTGGAAACCCAATTTTAAGGTGGAGCAAATCTTTTCTAAAAGCCTACTCAAATTTCCTAAACAACACAAAACTTTTAAAGTTATATAATATTTTAGGGTAGGGTATACAGTATTATGGGTCTAATTGATATTATTATTATTATTATTATTTTTTTGTAAAAAGTTTAGGCATAAACTTTTTTTTGCATGTTATTATTGGTTAAAACAGCACCCTAATCTTTAATATCCATTTTTAGGTTAACCTTTAAGAATATTTTGACTCAAAATGGTGGATATTTAAACAGAAATTTTTATTAAAAATAATAAATTTCAAAAAAAAAAGTATATGTAAATAGTCTCTAACATATAGAAAGATACAATCCAATTATATTTTATTATTGAAACTACTATACCACGCAGTAAATCAGAAGCATAGATAAGAATACTTAACTTTATAACAAATGAACTTTTAGTCAAACTTTCAATTGAACTTGAATTGAATATTCTTTCTTCTACAAATTTTATTATGCTCAAACATTTTATAAATTGGTGGACGTTTAAATTTTAATATAATATATTAGTTGTAGAATGTTTTATTTTCTATAAATAAAAAAATAGGTTAAAAAAACTGTATAAACTGAACCACAAAAAAGCTTTAAATTTTTTGTGAAGTTGATAATAAAGAAAAAAATTTGTTATTTTTTGTATTTTTAATTTGATGTTTAAACGTATAAAGTTCTTTTGCATTCAAGATTTCAATAATCTTAAAGATATTACTTGTTAGTCTGTAAGAAGAAACCTTATGGAAAAGACCAACATGTCAAACTTTATCAAAGGCTTTAGAAATATTGAGAGCGATAACCTCTCTACATCTGCTTAATGCACAATAAAACCTATTGTTTAATATTAATGCACGATAAAACCTATTGTTTATTATTGTTAACAAATCAGCTGTAAAATGCTCTCTAGAATTTTTAAAAATAGGGGTAGCAGCAGGCTGGAAAAAAAAAGACTCTGATAAGCACTTGTTATACAGTTTTGAAATTATAGGTGACAGCTCCGGAGAACTTTTCTGCAAGACTATAACAGGTATGTTGTCCGGACCACAAGGCCGTAGATGAGTCTAAGCAGGGAATCATTTTAGTTGCAAAAGCTGGAATCATATGAACGTCTGGCAATGTATTAACTGTTTTTCATCTATATCAGGTAAAACGCGAATAATGGAATCAAAAGATCATCAATATAATCAATATCATGACTAGAAGTTCTTAGCAAACCATTCAGCTTTGTTTTTTAGATGAGGTGACAAAATTTGAACCATACAAGAGAAGTGGAATAACAAACTTGCCCTTATTATAGATACTGTTAAAGATTCTCCGGAAGAGAGTTTAATTTTTGAGATGAAATATGAGATATGCGGGTTTTAAGCGTTAGACAAAACCTTTTTGCTATGGTTTTTAGAAGTAGTAAACAGGCGCATGTTTTCTGGAGAATTGTTTTGCTAGATATGAAAGTAATGGTTACAATTGGAAATTACAGCAGCACAGCTAACCCTAAGTATAAACAAACGTCATCAGCTATAATGACTACTTTTATTACTAATAAATTAATTAGGTAATCTATTAATAGTATAAATTGCATATTCTAGCATCCAGTGCAATTATCTGTTCGTTTTCTCTATGCTATCTTTTTAAGTTGACTTTTTCTTACTTTCACTCTAACTTTCTTTGTTCTGCCTAAATTCACTTAATCTTGGTCAGCGAAGCGGGTGGTGATGCTCTTTAGTGAGCTAAACTAATTAGCCGGAAGAGGATAAACCACAACACCCACTTCAGTTTTACTAGCACCTTTATTTGCACAATAAAGTTATAAAACTTTGAATTTTCGCATTTTAGATTTATGATTTACTTTATGGATAACAGTGCAGTTATTAATATGAACACTAATTTATGAAAATGCTAGGCTCAATTATATATGTCTAGTTTTAACTTATTGTTTATGTGATGGATAATATTTTTGATCTTTTCTTAAATAATTTGATGTACGTCTGTAGGCTCAATACTAACTTTTTGTTCTTTTTATTACATTTTAAATAAGCATTTTGTTAAAATATTTAAAATACAAATAAATAATAATAAATATATTAGTGTATATATATATATATATATATATATATATATATATATATATATATATATATATATATATATATATATATATATATATATATATATATATATATATATATATATATGTAATGATCGTTATTAAATAATAAAAGAACGCGGGGACTCGTACAAAACCATACGATCTTGCTGTCGAGTACGCTAAAAAATGTTCTTGTAAAAATTTATAAGATATTTACAAGATAAAAAATAAGTAACGAAGTAAGAAACTTAAAACATTCCGTTACAAATACAAGATACATATTACATACATAATTTTTATAAATTCATGTTTAAATAGAGGGTAAAAAGAAAGATCACAAAAAAATATCAAAAGTATATTGTAAAATCTTCAATTGTAAAAATGAGTTCTTTAAGCTTTCGTTTAAAAGAAAAATAGTTAATTTGATAAATAAAATCCTCACTAAAATATTTAAAACTATTTTATTCCATAAGAATGGTCCGCGATAATCAATACAGAGTTAAAAAAGATTTATTTAAAAAATGGGCTGCATAATAAAATTATCATTGCGTAAAATGCATTTATTTTTATCTTTTGATGAATACAAATTATGGAAAGAGATCGGGGATGAATTGGTTTTACATTTAAACATAAAACAAAGAATATTTTAACATAAAACAAAGAATATTGCCTTAATATCAGCATTATATTTGAGTCTTATTTACCATACATTTATTGTTTATTTATCTTCAATGACTTTTTTTTTGTAGCCTTCAAATTATGAATACGCTCACTATATTATTTTAACTTTTTTTTTAGGTCTCTACTTTTTTTCCTAAAATCATTAATAATTTTTCGTTTTGTTCAACGATTTTTAGATAAATGCTGTCTTGCTCTGGTGTTTTTGGGAAACTAACTGAAAGACAAATAAAATAACAGATATTTTAGAATTTTTTCCTCAGTCACTATTTCTCTAAAAAAATGTGTATTTAATGCCATTGTGCCATAAACTACAGATGCCAAAGATTCAATAGTTAAAAAAGTTAAAGCACTCATATGATCAAAAGATGAGAGAACTAAAGAACACGCAAAAAAGAAATCTGAACTACTTTGAACAGTTTGTAATGAATGTGCACTTAAAGAAAAATTAATAAAAAGCTCATTACAAAATTCAATAAAATGCTTGAATTCAGCAAACCATAAAAAGACTTTTACCTAAATTAGTGATCTTTTTACGAGATCCATTACCTTAGTTATGTACAGTTAAGCTAAATAAGAGACTATATTGTTCTGCAACATGTTAAATAAATTTATAAAATGACTCATCATTGTTTGTAAATATAAAGTATATTCCCATTCCGACAACTTGCAGTGCAATCCGCTGTTCAATCAATGTTTATTTGTGAAGGTAGTGCAAGTATAGAAGTTAAATTTTACTTAGCTTTACTATAAAAAACACTTTTTTTAGGTCACACAACATTACAAAAAACGACAAATTGGAGCTAAAATTAAATAAAAACATTTACGCAGTTGGCAAGAAAATAGCTAGCAAGTAGTTTTACAACATACTTTGAGTAAAAGCTTGAGGCTTAATCAACAAAAACGTATTAAACAAAAAAGTCAATAAAAACGTTAGTAACTATAAAAAAGAGTAAACAAAACAATAGTTCAATTATTTTACTTCTGATAATATTAATACGCTAATTTAATATTATTATTATTGTTAGTCGAATTACGTCATTTTCTAGGCTTTCTATTTTAAAGTAGTTTCTTGGCTTTTCTATACGCGGTTTTTTTTTTAATTTTATTTACTAACAACGCGTATTACGGGTTGCTTACTGCTAGTTTTAAATAATATCAAAGTTAATATCTATTTCGAAAACCACAAAACACGTTACCATAGCGCTAGCGCAAAACAGACAAATAAAAACACGGCACAGATTTTGGCGTTTCACAGTGGTCCAGGACCACGCAATAAATACAAAAAAATTATCTATTTTACACTAAAAACAATTAAAAAATTAAATTATATATGTTTTGTGAAAACCAGATTAAAATTTTTAAGGTCCATAATTTAAAAAAGGTTTATCTAAGGAGGGTTTAAATTTCAAAAATTGAAAACCATTACATTTTTTCGTGCAAAAATCTGTCTACCAACTTTTGTTTATGCTCACTCCGGCCGATATCACAGATATACTAATTTTTTTTAGATATTCATATCAAATGTTGAAAATCAACATAAAGTAATTTAAAATATACGATTTTATCAGAAAGACTCAATTAAACGCACGTTTTATTATAAATTTTTTTATTATAAATTTTTTGAAAAGAAAACTTTTTCGCCCACGTTTGTCCACCCTGAAATATTTTGCGTTAGAAAAAATGCCGTTTATAGAAAAAGTTTGAAAATATTTTGGCTGCTTTTGTTTGCTTATTATCATAAAGGCTCACTCCAAACATCTCAGTACCTAAAGTAAAATGCGACTCCCCTCTCGATCAGATGTTTTTTAAATAGTTTAAACCGTAATAATGAATAGCTGAATATTCTGGTATAAAATCGGACAAACCGAAACTTAAACAAAATATTCAAATAAACAAAATTGAATAAACAAAATAATCAGAAAAAATTATTATTTTATTAGATAGTTTGGATCAACTAAACCGATCCCCCTCTCCCTGCTCATTCTTTTCTAAACTGGGTGTTCTGCACATGTATGATATTTATTCAATTAAATAAAAATGTATCATACGTACTTGTGAATATTTATACTTAACAGAAATTTAAAAACTTTCTATTTGAGCAGCCGTGGCGCAGTGGTAGCCCACTCGCCTCAGAAACAAAGGTCCTCTGTTCATATCCCACCTCTGGGCAAGTTTTGCGACATCAGTTAGAAAGGAAGCTTGAACTTGCATTTAAATGCTCATCCGCGTTGCTGTGTGACAGGACCGAAAGGACTTCTTGGGGAAACTAAAAAAATAAAAAATATGAAATACGTATCACATATTTCTTATTCCTTATTTTATTTGTCCTTGGATTCGTATTATTGGCGTGTCCTTCAGAGGTATGAAAATCGACATAACAATAATAGTTATTGTTGGTCAAGATATGATGAAAATTCACAAAAAACTTTAGCATTTCAGCTTCAAAATTGGCAAACAGATAGTTTTTGCCTCAAAAGCGAGATTTCTGGACCACTGTACGTTTCCGTAAAAACCAAACAACGCATACCTAATATATAATTGTATTTATTAAATAACATATATATATATATATATATATATATATATATATATATATATATAAATATATATATATATATATA